TGGTAAAAAAAAAAAAAAATCACTTTAATGGACAATTTTCATATAAAACAAAGTCAAACGAACACTAAACTTTGATAAAAAAATGATTTTTTAGGAAACAATCCCCTCCCCCCCTTTTTTTTTTTACTTTTTGGTAATGAAAACAAATTTTATAACCAATTATGGAAAAAAATATAATGGACAATTTTCATGTAAAATAAAGCCAAACGAATTGAAAATTTAAAAATTTTTCGGGTGAAAAATTATACTAATCAAATACACTTGAAATCATTTTCTTTACAAAACATTTTCTAGGCAAATCTTTTCCCTGTAAAACATTTTCTTTCCACCCTTGCAATCAAACGCACCCTTAATTTCTATCTGTCATGGAATTGAAGTGCAATCAAGCAGGGCCTTAGAAGATTTTTTCCTTTCTTGGAAAGTTCTTGTATGCTGTTGACATCTTCTTCATCAAGAACAAGAGAAAACACAGCATTTGTGGCCTTAATGTGCTCCGGTAGACCACGCCTAACACTTACCATCAGGGGCGGATCCAGGAATTTTTCGCGCATGGGCTAACATTTAAAAGTCGATATAATAAATTTATATGATGCCGACAAGACAATAACAACAAAAATAAATCATGATGCCGGCAAGGCAATAACAATAATCATTATGCTGACAAGACAACATTTCAACAAAACAACTTAGACAAGTGGCGAAAACATTCAATTCAATATTTTGCCGGCAAGGCAATAAGTAGCGAGATGAACAACTAGACTTACCAGGGTGTATTCAAATTTTTGCTTTTCCTACGTGTCTGTGGGATTAATCATGTTGACACTTGATAAAATTCTCTGTTGACAATGAAGAAGAATTCCGCATTAATGCATAGTTGACGTACTCCAAAGACATTCAAAATTCATAACAGTAGAAAAACATAGAAACTCTGTGATTTTGTATGTATACACATATCATTTAGATCAGTGATGAAAATGAAGAAAAAAGAGGTATTAATGACATCCTGGATGAAGAAAACAAGTGTGAAATGAAAAGAAGCTGAAGAGTCAATTCTTAACTATGGAAATTGACTATCACGTTCTTCTACTTTTTTCCATCTAAACCAGGTTTTAGGGAATTACCAAAAATCTCTTATGGTAATTTAGCATTAGTTAAAGTTTTGAAAATGTAATAAGATTAACATCAAATTCTATGAGATTAAGCCAGTATACAATTTCTAAAAGTAGAAGCCAATATACAATTTCTAAAACCAGCAAATCGAATGAGGTACTAGGGTTTTCGAAATGGAAATTGTGGGATCGATTATTTGGGGTTAATGGCCGAATTTTAACCAGACATGATTTTCCAAATTCCAAAATACGTCAAATAATCACAAGATTCACAAGAAAATTGCCTAGTACCAGTTTCAGTTAAAGGTGCTCGAAGTAGTAGGCTAAGGCAGTAAGGCTGAGATAATCGGCGGCTGGGATGAGCAAGAATCCGGTGCCAAGGCCTCCGGCGGTCGGTCTGTCCATCCCCGAAATCGAATCCAGAGAAATCGGCTTAAGCAGTTGGAGTCCACAGATAAACAAAACCAGCGGGAATGGACTCTTCTCTCTTCTCTCTTCCTTCTTCAATTTTTATTTTTGATTAACAAGGCTGGGCCGGCTGCTTACTGGGCTGAACAAAAAAAAAGGGCAAATATTGGATCTGGGCTTGGGCGAGCACGGGTTGGCACCCCGGCTACCATTGAACCTGCCACTGCTGGCTGCAATATTGCAAGTAGTAGAGCAAAATAAATCCGTGATAATAAATATAGCTAATGCTAAGATATCACCTTTTCATTTCATGAAGACCAAGGGAAATTTTGGTACTTGATCAAGGATGTATTTCACAGCAAATGTTGGAATGGAGAGATGCCGTGTTTAGAAGCAACTTTCTTCAGGGTCCGAAGCAAAACTTGGAATTGACTCCATCCTCCCCAAGCATCGACCATCTGCACATATTTTTCATAACAACTTGTTAACCAAATGTGATTATAGTGGTTGGTTCCCTCAGAAACATTAATGCATTATTGACAGAATAATGGTAAACTGGTTTGTCTTAAAAAATGTAGAGGGTACGTCCAAATTTAGGAGATTCTTCTATCTGAATAGTTTGCCAAGAAGATCTTACCACAAGGGTTAATGACCAAACATTGATAGATAGAGAAGGACAACAAAGAATATGAATGGAGTACCATAGGATTACTCCCTTCTCTCTCTACTTTATCTATTAAGGCTATGACCAAGTTCTAAACAGTTTCTATCACTCCTTTTTCCATACTACTGAATTGAAAGAGAAATTATGCTCATAAAGTGTAGTTATTCGTAATATTTGGACAAAAAGGACTAATAGTAATTACATATCTTAAATAATTGGGTTTGGCATTAGCTTACAGATAACTTATTATGATTATTTTACATTTGAGTAGAAATGCTTTAAGTGAAATTTTGTGGACTTTCGAGATGCACTTTTCGATAATCTAGCCCCTGTTTGGTTTAGATAAAAATCAGATTTTTGATGAAAGTTAATAGAATGTGTGTTTGAAAAGTTGTAAGTCCAATGAAATGTATCATTAAAATCAATTGTTAACTTTGACTTAAATTTTAATCAACATTTTTAGCTGAACCAAACAAAGGCTAAATTTTGAATTGTTTCCATTGAAATAGTCAATTTGGTTACATGGGGATATATTTGGTTTTTGTTAACTATCATTCCCTCTTGGTTTATCTTGTGTTGTCTCTAGGGTCATTTGTCCTCCGATTGTTGATTCATCTCTTCGTACCTCTGGCAATTGGTTCATCTACTTTGATCTCTGACTAGAGGTTCATATGATACGCACGATTCTGCAATTATGAGTCTCGAGCATCGCATCCTATGTGAACTATATATAAAGTTTCCGACCAAGTTCAATGCTATTTCTTGAATTCTTTTGGTTAGTTTATGTCTCCAAAATCTGTAACATTGGTAAAGGTTACTTGTACTAATGGACTAATGAACTTTCTTTCATACTCAGGGTGTGTTTGAATCACATTATTTTGGAAGAATGTATTTTGAAAATGAAGGAAAAGTTATTGATGTGATGAAAAATATTATTTTATTGAAGAATGTGTGATTGAAAATGAGTAAAAGAATGACGATGCAAATTTTAATGTGAATCAAACGGGGGCTCAATCTGCGCAGAAAGTTGAGGAATTACTTGCTGAGTATAGTATTTGGTAGAAGAGTGCCGGAGATCACTCACCGAGTACTGGCTCATTTGTTACCTGTACATTTTTGATGCCTAGAAAATGCCAGTATTTGTAGTTTGGGCAATTAGCTAAATCAGTTCATAATGTGGAGTGACAATAACAGTTTCTATAAATTATCTGCGATAGAGAGAGAGAGAGAGAGAGAGAGAGAGAGAGAGTAAGCTGGCACAACTCTGCCATTCTATGTTGAGGACGCATGTCAATAATTGAATGTTGTACCTGAAGAAACCAAGAGCATTCCCATTCAATTTGCTCCACATCATTTAAGGATGCATGAAAAATGAAAAGAGAATTTGAGAAAGAACCACAAAAATAATTTTATCACCTGGTTGCTGACGACTGGAATCCCATTTTCCAAGATTTTTCGCAACGTCTCGTATCAAAGTTAGTTAATGCAAGTCTTGATCTTACCAGCATGCCAATCACTGAAGTAACCTGGTCTAATCAGTCCCGTATTCTCCCCCATCTGTCTTTATGTTAAATGACATTTTTGCCCAAATATATAAAATTGTTAAACAATCCAAAGAAATAAAGAAAATGAAAAGGAAGCTACGGTTTCATTAATTCTACATAATGTAATTGAATACAAAAGAATGAATTAATTTAGAAACAAAGAGACTATATATAAGCTAAACAAAAGAAATTGAAAAGACTATTCTACCCTTAATAAATAATAAAATAAAATAGCCATATATTTAACTCTATATTTCTTAACAAAATAACAAATTTCTTACACTTTTAAGGGTGCAAAAAATGTCCGACTTTGGCTTTTAAGCAAGATCAAACGCGCCATTACAGCAAAAAAAATATATATAGAAAAAATCCATAATTCAGGTGGGTGGGGGGGCATTCAATGGTCAGCCATGTCGAAGGTGGAGAGACTAGCGCAGCGTATTTGAACATAGCTTCGACGACGTTGTCTCGGTCGATTCTGCACCCATCCGCCACTAGTATGCCACATCCCATTAAGCACTCCGCATATTTCAAGGGAATCGTTTCCATTCTTCACTACCACCGTCTTTCCACCACCCCAACACCTACCTCGCAGCACCGCACCACGCGGTGGCCAACTCTCTCGACCGCCCAAACCCACCATTGGGCTGGGAAGAAAGGTAAAAATTGGACATGACACGGTGTACAGTCATCGTGGCAGTTGCCATTTTGAAGGCGCCGAGTTTTACATTAATTTGGCAGATGACTTGAGAGGCAATAGAAAGGGAAGAAAGTGCAATAGTTTTGTTTGAGTTAAATGATTGAACACACACCGAAATTTGCATAATGTCACGATTTACTCATTAAACTTCAAATTGCACCCCATTACTCACTGAACTTTATACATTTGCACTCCGTTACACATCGGCTAACTTCCGTTTATAACTTGTGCCTACGTGGATGATGGAATGCATACGTGGCTGTTAGCTCTCTCCAAAATAAAAAATCAAATGCCAACTCATTTAAAGTATAATTTCCAAACAAGACTTAGCCCCATTGAATTGAAACCGTGAGCCTCTCCTCTCCAAATGGTGTTCTTCCATTATTTCATCTTCCATCCGAGTGTCAGCAAACTAAGGTGTTCTATCCATGTCTACGGTTTCAACAATCACTGGGAGCACAGATCCGATTCAAGTGGTAGCCAAGTTAATGATCATTTGTACTAGAAACATTAAAAAGAACAAGAATCATACTTATTCAAAACATATCTTTGAATGATCAAGAAAACCGAAACAATTCTTTGAAACAAGTTGCCCACTAAAGAGAGAACCTTTAGGGATAAAACGTTTCATGTTCATGCTGAAAAAGAAAAGCTCCTCGTTTCTGGGTAGAGATCTTTTGGGTTCAAGACAATTCCAGATTCTCAGATTTGGGAGCTGCTTCTACAATGGCTGATAGAGGTCGTGCATTTGACATAAGGGTTTCATCTCACGACTTCAATTGATTTGGGTGTGGAGTGTTTGGTTGATGTTTGGGAGAAATGACATGGCATTTAACTTCCAGCTATAAAATCCGTGATCCACGTGTGCATTGATTAATGACGACAGTTACTTAGTGAGTAATGGAGTGCAACGGTATATAATTCAGTGAGTAATAGAGTGCAAATTAAAGTACAATGAGTGAAACGTGACATTACCGAAAGTTCAGTGTGCATTGAAACATTTAACTCAGTTTTGTTTTAAGATAAGGTTGCTATGTGTCCTATTTTTCTCATTCTTCATTTTTTTCTTTTTCTTTTTTATTATTTATTTTATCTAGGAAATAAGTGTACAATAGTCCTTTGACAATAAGTTGAATTTTAACGGTTAAATAGGCGGAAAATATATGAAAAAACTATTTTTGCACCTAAGCGTTCATACGAGGACATTAATGTCAAGATTGGATGGATAGGTCTTGTTTCTTCAAAAGAGTCATCAATTGGGAACCATAAATTAAATTTGTAACAAGTAAATAGATGAATATATACGTGTTGATGTCAAAAATCGTACATGTTGATCCCAAGCCTGACGACTGAGAACGAGCACGAATGAGGCTTTTCGATACTTGAAACAAAGGCGTCGAGGTGTGTCCTCGTCGCCCCTCTTATACTTAAGTCAGATAGAGAATCATGTGAAAAATTGTATAATGGAATATTATAAAAAACATACCTGAATAATGAGGATGTGCTATGTATTTATAGATATTGAAGATAGAGTTCTAAAAGGATTCAACATTTCGTAATTCTTGTCCTAGTTATTATAGGTATTTGTATTGTATTAGAAGTGCACAATTTGTGTTAGAATAAAATTTGTAATGGACTAGGGGTTTACACTTAAGTAGGACTAGTATTCCTAGGCCCGATCTCATAATGGACCCGACCTTGGAATTAACCCATTTGGAATGGGTCAAGATCGGGCCTATTAGCCCGAGTTCGAGTCAAGTAGTTCGAGCTCGGGCATATCGATATTTTTCCTCATCAATATGAAAAAACTATTTCAACGCACAAGCGATCATATGAGAACGATAATGTCAAGATTAAAAGGATAGGTCTTGTTTCCACAAAAGAGCCATAGGTTGGGAACCGTTTGTGAAAATAAGTCCTAACATCCTTGTTAAGCCCTATTTGGTGGAGATTAAAATAAATTTTTAATAGATTTTGATAAAACTTGTGAAATAGTTGAAAAGTTGTGAATCCTATAAAATACGTGATTAAACTTAATTGTTGACTTTGACTAAAATTAAAATTCAGATTTTAATTTCTATCATAGGGGCTAAATTTATAATCGTTTATGGAAAATTTCATATTTGGTCCCCCAACCTTTCAAAAATAGTTGGGAACATCCCAATTTTTGAGAAAATAGGTATAATAGGTCCCTAATAACAAATTCTGTACATTTGGACTTCAAGATCATGTAAAATGACAAATTTACTCTCCCTTTTAAATAAACAAAAAAGAAAAGATATAAAAAAAAAAAAAATTGCAGTGGGAATCTCAAACCTTCTCAAAAAGTGAAAATGAATCCCAATTAAAGAATAAATAAATAAAATCTCTCATCTTTCCTAGGGACGTTAAACGAGTCGAGCCAAGTTGGGAACTTTTTGAGTGGTACTTGCGAGGTTCCATAAAATGTTAGACAAAAAATAATTTTACCCATTATAATAGCTTATAAATATTAGTCAAACAATTTCTAAGTTGTTAACAGGGTTTGAGTGAGCTGCATCTTGGAGCGCAATCTTATTCGTCGATGTTTTTTTCAATTTGTCCCTAACTTTTATTATATTGTAATATGGCACCTAAGACTGTGAAAAATACAATATCTATCCATAATTTCAATTTTCTTTTCACCTATGCCCCCTCCTTAAATTTATGCCCTTCTCTCCAGCTAACTTTCAAAATTCATTTTGGAAGTCGCAGGCCGTTTGAAACATTCTCTAGTTCCACAGTTTCCATTGTAATTTTATTTGCCCTTTCTCCGATTTCTGCCTATAGCAATTTATTTATCCTTCAAAAAATTTAAAAGTTTTTTCCAAAAATCACGGGTTTTTACGTAATAATATTCTTTAAATTGTATAATCGAATGAGAATACTTGCAAAAAAAGTCAAAATTATGACCTCTAATAATCTATCATCATGGTTTAATTATTAGCACTATTGATTCATACAATACAAGCTGTATGGATTTCAAGAAAGGTTCATTGCATCTAACGTCGGACATTCATTTTCCTAATCCCATCAAGAATCTAACATGATCCAAAATGCCAACTCATTGGACAAGAATAGACAACTCCAATAAAATTGTATATCATTTCTGATGATTTTTACACTGATTTAACTGGTTCTTGATTGCATGATGCGTGTATCATTTCCTTTCTTCTACGAATACGGGCAAACCATTTTTGACTGTAGCGGTGAGGCCCGGCATGAACTTAAGAGTCTGATTCGGGTTAGCCATTTGGATATCAAACTGCCTAATCAAAGACAAAGAAAATGACATGGCATTTAACTTCCAGTGTAAAATCCGTGATCCACGTGTGCATTCATTAATGACGGGAGTTCCTTAGTGAGTAATGGAGTGCAATGGTATAAAGTTCAGTGAGTAATAGAGTGCAAGTTAAAGTACAATGAGTAAAACGTGACATTACTGAAAGTTCGGTGTGCATTGAAACATTTAACTCAGTTTTGTTTTAAGATAAGGTTGCTATGTGTCCTATTTTTCTCATTCTTCATTTTTTTTCTTTTTCTTTTTTATTATTTATTTTATCTAGGAAATAAGTGTACAATAGTCCTTTGACAATAAGTTGAATTTTAACGGTTAAATAGGCGGAAAATATATGAAAAAACTATTTTTGCACCTAAGCGTTCATACGAGGACATTAATGTCAAGATTGGAAGGATAGGTCTTGTTTCTTCAAAAGAGTCATCAATTGGGAACCATAAATAAAATTTGTAACAGGTAAATAGATGAATATATATGTGTTGATGTCAAAAATCGTACATGTTGATCCCGAGCCTGACGACTAAGAACGAGCAAGAATGAGGCCTTTCGATACCTGAAACAAAGGCGTCGTGGTGTGTCCTCGTTGCCCCTTCGATACTTAAATCAGAGAGAGAATTATGTGAAAAATTGTATAGTGGAATATTATAAAAAACATACTTGAATAATGAGGATGTGCTATGTATTTATAGATGTTGAAGATAGAGTTCTAAAAGGATTCAACATTTCGTAATTCTTGTCCTAGTTATTTTAGGTGTTTGTATTGTGTTAGAAGTGCACAAGTTGTGTTAGGATAAAACTTGTAACGAACTAGGGGTTTGCACTTACGTAAGACTAGTATTTTTAGGCCCGACCTCATAAAGACTAGTATTCCTAGACCCGACCTCATAATGGACCCGACCTTGGAATTAACCCATTTGGAATTGGCCAAGATCAGATCTATTAGCCCGAGTTCGGGTCAAGTAGTTCGAGCTCGGGCCTATCGATATTTTTTCCTCAT